TGCTGTTGTCAGGTGATGCCCGCCCCTCAACCCCTGGCTGGTAATTCAGACCCATAATTTGGGCTATGTATTCTCCTTGTAGTCTCATTTCAGCCCCTGTAAAATGCCCATTGTCTGCACGCTTCAGCCAATATAAACGTTTAATTGCAGGAGTTTTGGACCTTTCATATGTCTCCCACTGTTGTGTTAAAAACGCATAGCACACCCTGCAGCAGTCTACTGTCCCAGAACTGGTGGGCAATCGCGCCCCTTTTGGTGGGTCATGGTGTTCCAAAAATGGAAAATAGGGCAGCCTGTCGTGTGGTTTTATCCGCAGCCCCGTTTCAGCACCCAGGCTACCACACACAAAACAAACATGTCGACCCGACATTACTCCGTTAGTTTATCTGTGATATCAAATTCATCGCTTCAGTGGAGTCCGTGATATTTAAATACACAACATGTTTACTGTCAAAAAAGTTTGTGCTTCCATGTTTTTCGTCGATGTTGTTTTGATGAACTTGAAGGCAAATTTAGTCAGATTCTGCCATTCATTAATTAATCTCACCACTTCCAATTTTTAAATTATTTGTCATATTGTTTATAAAATCCGTAATTGGTCACTGATTGTTGATTTTAAAAACAATGAAATCATAGTACGAGGGAATCCCTGGTTTTGGCGGCCATGTTTGGACATCTGTCTCTTCCCATAATGCAACGGCTGTAAGAAACTAATCCTGACAGGTGCTTTACTAGCCTAAAAATAGCACAGACGAGACTCCCCATAACAGTTAGCGCGCTTTCCAACTTGACAAGTTATAGAGCATTATATATTTTTTAATCATAAACATCTGTCACTTTATCATTTAATAGCCATTGACATTCAATATTAGGGTGTGGCTACTGCACGTTTAAAAAATTAATGCTTCAACATAATATTCTCTTTCAAATTCTTTTTTTATGCGCCCGAATTTTTTCGGGGCGCATATTGTTTTTGTCCTGTCTGTTTGTCTGTTTGTCTGTTTATCTGTTTGTCTGTTGTCAACTTTAACCTTCGCCAAAACTTTTGAACCGTAAGAGATAGAGATTTCATATTTGGTATGCATACTCCTCTAACAAAGTTCTTCAAATGACATCAAGGTCAATGACCTTGTGACCTTGACTGTGACCTATATGCTAAAAATAGCTTTTTCAACTGTTTGTCATAACTTTTGAACCATAAGAGATAGAGACCTCATATTCAGTATGCATACTCCTCTAATAAAGTTCCTTCAAATGACATCAAGGTCTATGACCTTGTGACCTTGATTGTGACCTACGGTATATGCTAAAAATAGCTTTTTCCACTTTTTGCCTTAACTTTTGAACCATATGAGATAGGGACTTCTTATTTAGTATGCATACTCCACTAATGAAGTTCTTTCAATCAACACCAAGGTTAATGACCATGTGACCTTGACTGTGACCTATATGCTAAAAATAGCTTTTTCCACTTTTTGCCATAACTTTTGAACCAAAGGAGATAGGGACTTCATATTTGGTATGCATACTCCACTAATTGAGCTCAAGGTCAATGACCTTGTGACTGTGACCTATATACTAAAAATAGCTTTTTCGAACTTTGTTGACGCCGGGCGCATAGTGTTTCACAAACACATCTTGTTTTTAATTTAAAATCTAGAATTTCACTACTAGTATTTTGACTATTGTAGACTGGCGTGAAGGCTCTTGAACATTCTTTGAAAAAAAGAGTAAGAATATTAATTATCTCGAATTAAATTTGATCTGTTAAACACACGTAGGCCTTGCTTTACATTGGACAAAAAGTATACAGGAGGGGTAGGGGTCAAAATATCCAACGCCAAATAGCTGAATAAATATCATATACATTTAAATATCTATATCTATCTTCAAACATCTAGCTGTAACTATCTTCGAATGAGTTAAAGTTAGACACAAAATTTTATTAAAAACAATTTGACACATTTGACACACAAGTACTCTGAAAATGATATATTCATGATTTTTCTGATTGACAGTATGTAGTTCTCAAGGCAGGATCGAGAACTGTAAATTTATCGACTGCCGTTTGCGGAGAACAGGTTTTCTAACAATCTCTTGGAAATCCCATGGGTATCAATTGCTCCCCGTTGTTAGCAGGCCAAATTTATATTCATTTGATTGAAAAAAAATGTATCCAAGTGGGCTTAAGAAAAAAGATATCACACCAACATATAGTCTGACACATCTGTTTCATGTTTGGATATTTTACTACAAAAAGATATCAATGGTTATACCTAACTTCTATACTTAATGATAAACGTGATGACTTCAATTTGTCAATCGTCAACTTTCCTTACTTATGCAGCAATATACCCTCACCATGCACCTGCATATGGAGCTTATCCCATGATGTTTTAGAAGTCTATGTTTGCTCTACACCTGATTTGTTTGAAGGATCTTTTGAGCTCAAATTTATACTGTTCATATATAATTCATTCCTCTAATTAATTTAAAGATATTTTATTGACAAACATGCATACATGCGTTTACAAGGGGGGGGGGATCAGCGTTTTCCAGGGGGGGTCCATTGTAACTTTTTTCTTGTTTTAGTATATACATTTTTTAACCTGGTAATTTCCAGGGGGGGGGTCCTGACCCCCCCCCCTCTAAATGCTCATGTACTGTTTAAAAGACAGGACAATGACATCTTCACCAAGGTGCTTTTCCCTGGCGTACGTTGGAGATTTACGGAGACAGCCGCCGAAGCGTTGGGCTGAGCATATGCTTGACACTAACTTTTTTAATTAATTAATAATTAGTTTCTTTTCTGCTTTCCCTTAATACGAGAAAGTATGTCATCGGGGAAATACTTTATCGCCATTTTTCTACGAGAAAAAGTTGTACTATGGTAAAAGCCTAATGCAAAATGCACCATGTGGACCGATCATTATTTGTAAGTCGTCTATCCTTGATATACACATATTTTCTGGGAAAAAAAAGAAACGAAAGCAACAGATTTTTTAAAATAAGCATTTAAAATGAATAAATAAACAATAATGATCATGTACATGACAAAAATATTTACATGAAATATCAATATCCCTCAGATTTTTTTTCTGGGTTTCCCAAAAAGTATAAATGCAATATACATGATATATGCTGTCATAAAATGATTTTTTTTTTTAAAGTTAGTATGCATTCATATTTTACAGTCAATTTTTAGGCATCATTATTTCATACGTCGTATGGATAGTAGGGATTTATATGTTGGTGTTGCTGATGAATTATCGAATTATTCGGAGGTGATAATGCAAAGGGGGGCTATTATCGCTGTAATTTTCTCAGGTTTACGTATAGTGCTGAAATTCTCGCCACTTCAAAATGTATCATGAAGAAAGGGGAGAATAGATTTTAGTATATCTGGTATGTGAATACTTTTTCTATAATTTACTTTTAAAAATTAATAGAAAATTTTAAGCATATTTTTCTGAGCTACGCACCATGAACCTTATTATACAATGCAAATAACATGAAATAATCTTAAATGTCTGATGAGATGTTTCATAATGAGATATAGATTGCACATACATATACAAATAACAAGATCTTAAATACTAGGAAAAGTCATCAGTTTATTCTAGAACTTATACTATAGTTATATATTATATAATATTAACATTATATATAAAAAAAAACTTTTCTATCTGATTACGATCTTGTCCAGCGTTTGTGTAAACTTTGAATAATTTTGACATCTCAAAAGCCACAGGGCTAATTTCAACCCAACTTGCCACAAAGCATCTTTGGGTAAAGGAGATTGAAGATTGTTCGAGTGAAAGGCAACGCCCCTTTTCAAGAGGAGATAATTAAGAATTTTATCTTGTATACTAGTATTTCATTTTATATACTAGTAATTACATCTTTCAAAAATATTCTAATCAAGAATAAAGAAGGTGAAAATAACGAAAAATGACAATTTTCATAACATCTAAAAACAATGTAAATCGGCTTAGAGCGCATAAACACGAATTCCTAAAATACCGGATGTAGGATCGGGTACCTAGAAGGAGTGAGCAACCCCTTTTTTGTCCGGTTACATCCGGCCTCCGTGAGCCTTACATACTGTTCAAGTATAGACCGAACATTTCGTAGTCAGATTAAGTATAAAAACAAAGTCAATTGGTTTAAAACAAGTCAGCCAAAATTCGACCAAATATTTGCATATATGGTCACTGTAACGACCATAGAATTTGCAAAATGCTGACTTTAAATGAGGTTGATGAAATCCCTGTAATATCAACTTGTCTGAGAGTAACATGACTCCGTTTTAAAAAGATCGTCTCTGCGCATGCTCTAAAATATTGAATAATGTGGAGACATAAACACCATATATACAGGTGATAGTGAAATAGTGCTACATAGGAAGGGAAGTTGAGGAAAGAATATCCAAAGTCATGTCATTTGTTAGATAAATAAATGTTACGCTGTTTGTCTTTGACGTCAGTATTAAAAACATCCAAATATAAAAAAGATATGTCAGATAGACTCTTTGTTTCTCTTTATTTAAAGATCACTTGGATATATTGAGTCGACTTATGAATGGACATATTTAAGTGCAATTAATAAAACGTCATCTATGTCTGAAAAGTCTAGAAGTTTTTGAATAAATTCTGCTTCAGATAAGACTTTTAAAAAGATCGTTAAATTAGTAACAGTAGGGAAGAAATAAAATGCGAAAGCTTCATTACAAAGTGTTCATTTCTTTTGTTAAAATCTGAACCCAAGAATCTTAAGAATATATCAAAAAAATACTATCGGTTCCCAATTAAAGTACATGTGTACCATTATAACTCAGAGATAACAAAGAACACTGCTCACTGCTTTTATTTTGTAGTTTTCTGTGATACCAAGTCAATTCTTCAAAATTCCAGTTTCAACATTTCATATTTTCAACACAAATGCTATAATCATTCCTTATCTTTGGGTTATTTTTTTTTTCAGGTAGTATTAATCTGGATCCTCTGACATGACCCCAGTACATTCCAATGTCCGAACGTCTGGAAGGTTGGTTGGAAAATCAGTTCATTTCAAAATCTTAGCATTATGTTTCGTTTGCACCTTTGTCTACGTTTACTTATATTCTGAAGTCAGTCGGCAGGCAATAGCCATCAGGAAATTGATGAAGGGGATCCTCGATAACTTCCGGTTCTGGGGACAGCAGATCCGACATTGGTGGAATTTAATCCAAACAACTGGATTAATTGGAGACGTGGAACTCATGGAACGTGAAAGGAATATTACTAAAAATTACGCAGATACTCTTGTTCCTAGATTTATGTTTCCATCAGAATTTAACTTCAGTAATCATGGAAACAATCTTACTTACATAGAAAAATTATCACGTGTTTTAATAAAAGCAAACAAAACCTTGCTAACATTGTTCACAACATGGCAGACAACGGTTGAAAAATTCATTTGTCATAATAATACAATAAGAAATTGGAATCAATTGAAACCATTTGTTCAACCAATACTCTTTTCTGATGATCAGGATTTGTCAGTCAAAGTGACAGAAATGGGTTGGAAGGTCTTACCCATCTCCAACACAGGTAGAGGAGTACCTGTCCTCAAAAATATGTATCTGGATGTTTTAAAGGTTTCAAAATCCATTTTCTACGCCTACGCGAACGGTGATATTCTTTTTACTGATACACTGATCATAACTTTAATGGCTCTGTTGAATTCTAGTGTAAACAAGTCGCAACCGTTGATGGTTATAGGTCGGCGAACAAATGTCGAAAATGTGACATCCAACGATGCGCTGAATCAATCAACGATACATAAAATATCTGAATCCCGAGGGTCCTTATTCAGCGTCTGGGGAGAAGACTATTTTATAACAATGAAAGACTATCCTTGGAAAAACATTCCAGAAGTTATTATAGGCAGACGAGCCTACGACAACTGGCTCGTGCTGGACGCTAGAAGACGCGGGAATGTGATTGATGCAACAGAGACGTTACTGGCTGTCCATCAAACAACATATCGAGGAAACTACGAGGGTCATAAACACCGAGACAAGGACTACAACCACAACCTCTTGGTGAGAACGTTTAGAAGACTCCATTACGCGGCGGGAAAAACGTCATGTGCTGAGTTATATACTAAATACAATATAGCACGGGTACCTGAGATTCACAGGAGAAAAATTGACAAAGAATGTTTTCCATTGTAGTATTTTTTGGTTGGATACATAAGATAAAACAATGAACACTTTTTTGGAAAAAAATATTTTGCATTTATGATTTTGAACTTCTCCTGGTTTTTACTTTTTACAGAAAAAAAAACTGGCGATGGTAGACATTTTTCTTGAAGAGTTGTTTGCGTTATAGAAGGAAAGTATTACGAGATATACTAGTGAAAGGGGAAGAGTGTTAAGATAACCCGTTAGTTGGATTACTAAACTATGCAAAACATAACAAGAATCCATTTGCAATCAGAATCTTTTTTCATTCAGTCATTTGCAATAATTGTGTCGGTAAGACGATTAGATAGTTAAACATAATTTTAAGATACCGATTCTTTCAACATGCCTTGTTAAAGATGGCCTCTAATTGTCATTGAAACAGAACAGAACGACAAAAACAGTACAAGTGGTACAATTCTTATTTAACCTTGGACTTTCAGTAAGATGAGGTATTTTCGACGTTACTTAATTAGCGTCTGAAATTTACACAGCTTTCATTCACTGTTGAAATATACATGGGATAGAAATTCGGGCAAATGTCAACGAGTGTAGCAAATATCCAATAACAAGGTCTCGTACGGCAAAGAGGTGGGGCTTAAGTCGTCTCATCGTTATCAACAACAATTTAAAAGTTCCGAGAATGCCACGCTTTACTGAAAGTTCCAGGTTAACTGAGAATTGTACTAAAATTGATAACATCATTAGTATTCGTTTATTGCAAACAACTTTTCATGCTCATTTGATTTGCTTGTAATTTTACTCTACGAGAAGTTCGGTCACCACAACAGTAGACTGTGTCCTCTGAAGGCTTATAGTCATAAAATATGTTTGAAATGACGGAGGAAATTTAAAATTTCCATGATTTCTAAAAAGCAAGGATATTTTGAGAAAAAATCACCGAGCGCATGTGTGTTCAGGCCAAGATATATGTGTAAAACATATCAATGAAATATATACATATTTTAACCTTTTTTCTGATAAAATTGAAATTTTACATTTTGTCCTTTTTCGAACAAATGATATATATATTTTTGAATCATAAAAACAAAAATAATCAATAAATATACTTTGAAACTAAATTTTAAATTCATTTTTTAAATACAATTTACCGCACATTTCCAGAATTTTTCAAAATTTGACTTATATATAATATACCGCATTATGTTCTACGTAAAAGAATTTCCAACATCTACCTAAAAAACGTCAACGTATAACGGTCTTGCCGAAAGACTTCAAAAGACCTGTACAATAATTTAATTGGGTAGTAGTGAGGGTTCCTTTTGTATTGTTAAAGATGGCCTCTACGAGGGGTGATCAAAAAGTTCGCAAACTAATTGAATAACTTCCATACAAGAAGCAATATTTGGTTTTAATGTTGATTATATTTTAAAGACCCTTTTAATGCACTTTCTGCGCATGCGCGAATCACGGATATTGGGCGCTTCTGTCACAAGAGAAAAGATTTTTCCGAGTTTTATATTTCTTTCCATGTGAGTTAATTTTTATGACAAGAACAATTAATTTGTCAAAGATTTGACAGAATGGGTGGACCCTTTCCAAAAATAAGCATGGCGACCATTAAAACACAAATCTTCTGTCTTCCTTTTTCATCCTTTTTATCATCTAATATTTTAAAATCTAAAGTAAACGATATCTTAGGTATTTGATACTTATACATTGTTCAAATATTCAACTATTTAAAGTGCTAATTGGAGGTTTTAGCAAATTGCTTAATTAAAAATACATATCTTTTCAAACTTGCTTTCACTCATATGAACCATATTTTTAACCATCATTCCTTCACTAAAACGATTAATCCAATCATTAATTGAATTTATAGGAACTCATTTATCTCAATAAACTGTGTACAAATTATTATATGATACTGTGAGGGATTTCTAAGATATTACAATAGATTGTACAGTCGTTTGTTGAACTTCCTGAGACAACAATTTTTCGTTGACCTAAATAGGATTTTTTCACATTGTGACTACATACTTTTCCAGCATATGCTATTTATAGACCTTGTGTATGGCTATGTGTGTACAATTTATTTCAATTGTGGTTTTGTAGATATAGAGATAGTTTGCAAACTTTTTGATCACCCCTCGTAATTGTCATTGAAACAGAACAGAACGACAAAAACAGTACAAGTACAGGGTGTTTCACAATATATGTCACACATCTAAAGACAGATAGATAAATGACAACAAAAGCTACATATACATGTTATATATCATTTTAATCAACATATCTTCAAAATTATTATTTTGAGTCAGAAGTATCCAACATTCTTTATTTTGGTTACTATGGCAACAAATCCTAAAATGTTATTCTCCAAGTGTTTTCCAAAACTTGTCCTAAATAACATAAAAGGCTAATGCTTAGAAATTTCTGACCACTTTTTTGTAAGCTTCACAGAATACTTGAGACTTTTCTTGTTTTGTGTGATATATGGCTTTTTAGAACCCACAAAATGCACATCTATTTTTATTTAAATCTGCATATCAATAAATGTGTCGTTTCAGAACTACCGGTATGTGTTAATTAGTGTCCACTTCTTTCGCTCTTCCTTTCAGTCAATCTTGCAAACTTTAACCGGCTCTGAACGTTGATTTGCTTTAAATACAGAAATTTTGTACAGTTGTATGTAGATGCACTAGCTTAACTCAAATCTAAGATTTCTAAATACACTCGATACACTTACTGGCATTGTACAATCCATTTCACTAAACTCAGATTTAACTTTCATGAGATTTTGCAATGATTGACTTCACTCTGATATTGTTCTCATCATCTCTTCTTGATTTTTTTATGGGGGGGGGGGGTTTAACTGTCTTTCATTTTCACATTATAATTTAGTTCAAACTCTCAAATTATTCTATAAAATATATGAAAACTAGATAGCAATTTTTGGTATGGATATTTTTCATCATCACACCCTATACAATATTTAGGATACCGTTCTTATAACAAAAGTTCACAACAAATTTTTGCTGCAAGTTGTACTCCATTTTGGGAACAGATGAAATTATGACATCTCTGATTTTATCATCAGTTACTTCATGGTATATTATAATTTTCCAGATATTTTGCAATATCATAATTTTAGATCATTATGCTTACTTATAATGTTTTGGTATTTTTGGTATCAAGCTCGATATTCAGATTATGCCCGTTTAGATGTGTGACATATATTGTGAAATTCATCTCCGCCATCAGATACACTTGTTTAATTGTATGTATCTTCTACGTCAAAGAATTTTCCACTAACATAAAAAACGTCAACGTATAACGGCTTGAAAGACTTCAAAAGACCTGTACTCCCAATGAGTAGTGAGGGTTCCTTTTGGTGTCGAGGCTTACCCTGAAACGGGGCCTCATTTGTAAAAGCCTCATCCGAAAGACCCTTGACTTACATTACTTGGACCGGGCGCTTGGCGAAAGAGAAGTCGCTACCTATGTCTATGTCAAAGATTTGACGCGGGCGTCCAACAAGAATCGAATCTTGTTAATCTTTGAATTCTTTTTTTTACTGTAAATTTTTTTCTACGATTAACACAATTAAATTTTAATCGTTATAATCGCATCAGACCGTATTTCATCATATGAATCATATTCCATCATATGCCCAGTCCTACAAGGCACCTGATCCCACCTCCGATGTTTTGGAGGTCCGTGTTTGCCCTGCTCCTATTTTGTAATGTTTAATGGACTTTAGAGCTCTAATACTTTTCGTTATCGCCATATACATGTACATGTATTTAATACGTATCTCTGCATGAAATTCAATAAAAACTCTGCGATCAGCTACGAATGATCAATCTTGGCTTTCATAACAAATCCACGGCCATTGGAAGGTAGCATAAGATTATACATGCTCCTATTGCTAGGATGCAAATTTGCATAACCGGACCTTGTATTTTCTCATGCACGTTTGCAGAAGTTGAACAGTTGTCGAGCATTGCAAAATCATTTTAACAAATGATCCTTCAACAATCCTCCATTTTTCGCTTTGACATCTCTTGTTCTTTACGCGATTTATGGTCCAAAGGCGCAAAAAAGAATCCCATTACAGGGCATGGACTCCAGTTTCTCGCAACTCTATGGCTGCAAGTGCCGAGAGCTAAAAACTGGAAATTGGTAAGGTTTTTCTTTAAAAAATCTCGAAGATCGAAAGGTTTCCAAAAGAAAGAAAAAACCAAACCTAAGAGAAGCCCAGTGTCCGATTAGTTTCCCTTGCGACACCCAAACAAACACTCACTATCGGACATTCGAAGGTATAGGGGCTTCAGCATTGATTTCAACAGAGATGGAAGGATACCAAAGGGACATTATGGGAATCAGTGAGAGCAGATTGACAGGAGCTGGGACGATGAGACGGACCTCGGACCAGACTGTTATTTACGGATGAAGAACTACACGAGGGAGGAGTTTCTATCATGATCAGTCATCAGTTAGTGAAGTCACTAATTGAACAGACACCCATCAGGAGGAGAATTATAACAGGTCGATTCTATATAAGATACAGGGAATTGTTGACCATTCAAGCCTACGTACCACATAATGAAGAGAAGGACCAGTTCTAGCAGGATCTACGGGAAACTTTAGACTGATCGATGAACGACATCATTATCATCACAAGGTAGGTAGTGACAACAATGGGTATGGAAGGATATGGAGATAATGAACAGTATTCAATATCAAAGTCCATAAAACGATACAAAACAGGATCAGAGCAAACACGGACCTCCGAAACATCAGAGATGGGATCAGGTGCCATGGAGGAGTGAGCATCCCCTGCTGACCGGTCACACCCGCCGTGTGCTCCTTGTCATGATCGAGAAATAACGGAAAATCCGTTTTCAATTCAATGTAAAAATAATGGACTAACAATTAGTATGAAAAACGTCAGTCAGCATTTGACTTAATGATAAATTGTATTTGATTATAAGGTCATTGTATCGATCATAGAACTTACGAAATGA